TCCATAAGAATTTAATTATTAAGGCAAAACAATAGATTATACAAACATTGTGCTTAATACTTATTTATGCCTAAAATTGAATTCTTGATCTCTCCCACCTACCCAACATATCCATCCCCATTCTTTCCCATCTCAGTTACTGGCAAATTCACTTTTCCAGTTTCCCAGGACACCTCAATCATCCTTTATTTCTCTCTTTCTCTAGAACCCCAAATCAAATCTGTCAGTAAATGATATTGATTTTGAAAAAATATCCAGAATTTAACGATGTCTTACGGAGACTACTGTAATAACCTTAGTGCAAGCTACCATCACCTCTTGCCTGGGTTATTACAATAAGACCTGTACTGTACAGACTATTTTTTTCAATATTTATTTATTTTTGAGAGACAGAGACAGAGTATGAGTGGGAGAGGGGCAGAGAGAAAGACAGAGAGAGAGAGAGGGAATCCTAAGCAGGCTCCATGCTGCCAGCATAGAGTCCTATGTGGAGTTTGAACTTGCGAACCATGAGATCATAACCTGAGCTGAAACAAAACATCGGAAGCTTACCTACTGGGCCACCCAGGAGCCCCCAGAGTAATTACTTTAAAGTCTAAGGCACATCATGTCAATCCTCTGCTAATAGCCTCCCTTTCCCAGACACACAGGCCTTCTACCATCTCACCTCACCTCTATGACCTCACATTACACTTTTTTTTTTTTAATGGGTCATTGTTTTCCAGCTTACAATGGGTCATTACCCACTCTTGCAACTTACCAGGCTTGTTTCCACTTCAGGGCCTTAGCATGGATTGTTCTCACTGGAATGCTCTTTCTTTAGATGTCTGCAGAGATCTCCTTCACCTTCATCAAGTCATTATTCAAACAGCACTTTCTCAGTGAGGCCTATCCTGCTTGCCCAATTTAAAAATGAACAAGTCTCTCACTCATTCCTCTTGTGCTTTGTCTCATTGCTTATCCCTTCCCTGTTGTATAAAAATTTTCCTCCTGTTCTGTTACACTCATGGCTTTCTAACATATTACATTATTTAGGTGTTTGCTTATTGTCCAACTACTCCTACTATGTTTGATGATGGCATAACAGACTATTTGTCTGTTTTGTTCACTGCTGTATCTACAGCTTCTAGAATAATGTCAGGCACATGGTAGGCTTACAGCAATTATTTATTGAATGAAAGAACTAACTAGCACCCATCACTTACACTCAGTGAATAGACCATGTCTTCAAGGGGAGAAAAGTAGAAGTTGTTTGCTTCTAGATCAAGAGGATTACATATTGAATTCAATGGGAATGAAAGCAATACAGTTTCCATGTGTCAAGAGAGCTCAGGGGCTCTATGCAACCTTGGTATTATAGGATTCCTTTTCTATTCTAGTCTCAAAATGTGATCATTAGCCAAAGACTAATTTTAAAAGATCCTGGAGTGTTAAATCTGTATTGAGAGGTTCCAAAGAGGATGGATCATGATTATAGTTTTACAAGCTGCTCAGTAATGTAATTCTTTAACATTCCTTCTCTCATCACTGAATTGCTCTTCCTAATTTGAAATCTATGAATGTAATGAGAAAGCATTGGAAGCCAATATGATAACACCCCAAATAATTATGCGATGCACTGCCCTCCTGTATTTCTACAGATTGGTGTAGTGTATATTTTTCATGTTGGTCTTTCTTTTGCAGTGCATTATATCTGTTGAATATCCATGTCAACTTACAGCACGAGCCTTGAATATTCCGTATTTTTTGGTAGCACAAATACATTGATTGAATGCTGAAATTATCTTGTACCACTTTAATATCCATCCTTTGGTCATTCCTGTTTTGAAGGAGTATAGAGTTTTAGGGCTGCAAGGTTTTAGTTTATTTGGTTTGATCACCTTACTTTACAGACATGAAAACTGAGGCCCAACAATGTTAAGTGACTTGCCCAAGTACCACAGAGCTGGCTGGAGCAACTTCTTCTAAAAGTAAAGCAAGCTACAGTTGAAAAAATAGTTCTTACTATCAAAACATTAATTGAATAAAACAAATGTAGTATGCAGTTCTAAACAATATGCAGTTCTAGCCAGTTTATATCCATGGTGACTATATAAGCATTAGACACGTGAGTGCCCATGTGGCCTAATTGGTTAAGTGACCCACTCTTGGTTTTGGCTCAGAAGATGATCTCACAGTTTTACGAGTTCAAGCCCCGTGTTGGGTTCTGAGCTGACAGTGTGGAGCCTGCTTGGGATTCTCTCTCTTTCCTTCTCTCTCTGCCCCTCCCCAACTCATACTGTCTCTGTTTCACTCAAAATAAATAAACTTATTAAAAAATAAGTGTCAGAAATCTAAGGCAGAGAGAGCAAAGAAGAAAACAATTGAAAGATGAGAAGAACTTCCACAAGCATCCTAATAAATAAAAATTGTGTATCACATAAGAGTAAGAATTTTGCAGATCACCTGAAGTGAATCGTCCTTGTGACACCTGCATGAGAGGAGACCAGCTCATCACAGAAATGTTTCTAAATATGTCTCCAAAGCTATTTGGAGAATTGGGGTTTCTTTTATTACCTAACCTAATCATTTTAGGATGTCAAGAGGCTTTCTACTTAGATATCTACACTTTCTTTTTGCACTAGTGCTCTATATGAGGCCAGAGGAATGTGAGCATATATGGTAACAATGCTTCATTTTCCTTTAACAGCTCTGTTTAAGGGACAGAGACATTTTTGTGGTGTGATTCATTTACTTGGTCTCCTGGTGTTTTCTCCATATGCTTTGGAAATCATGTATTTTTCTGAGAGTTGGTAGTCATGAAAGTCTTAATTCCAGCAAGAGAGTCATTGTTTTAGCTTTGTTACAATTAAGATACCCTAATAGTGTCGATAGTTTAGGATACTCGATATCTAATGGAAGATACTTTGACCCTTCGTGTACAGCTTTTTCAACCATAAAATTATGGTTAAGTCAAATTTTGAAAATGAATTGTAGGGGCACCTGAGTGGCTCAGTGGGTTAAGTGTGGGACTTCGGCTCAGGTCATGATTACATGGTTTGTGAGTTCGAGGCCCACTTCAGGCTCTGTGCTGACAGCTCAGAGCCTGAAGCCTGCTTCGGATTCTGTGTCTCCCTCTCTCTCTGACCCTTCCCTGCTCTCTCTCAAAAATAAATAAAAAACATAAAAAAAAAAAAAGAGAGAATTGTAATAGATTCCAGGAGGCAGGAACACTAGGATAACTCCTGCGACTTCAAAGCTAAGATTTCTGCCGACAGCACAATTCACGATTTCCTAAGGGTGGATTTTAAAGTTCCCTCTACCAGTGTCTGGTTTAATCCAGTTTCTGTTCTCAATGGCTCACTTTCAGTCACTCCTGTTGTGTGTGATTATATGTAGATTAGATACCAGTCCAAAGACTAAGATCTGTGTTCTATTTTGAAAAGCTAGATCAAATCTGGCCTCCAAGTGATACAGGTAAAACTCCCATGTAAGTACTATGGCAACATTTACTGAATGTAATTGTAATTGAAACGATCTGCTTTGGGTTATATTTCCTTAGATGTAATATCAATTCTTCTCTTAGTTTTCTCCTAATTATTTTCTTGGTAATGTACTTAAAAGGGCTTTTCAACTACTGTGTATATCAGTTTTCCTTCGTAAAAAATTGGTGACAATTGTTACTCTCCCTTCCTTATGCTCTACACTTTGCCCAACATTGTATTAAGTCTGATTTACACATTATGGCGGGTCTTTATATCCTAAATATATTATTTTAGAACTTTAAGGTTTTGGCAAATAGTGAAGTCTTGGGGAGATTACAGAGAGCTAAACACACAAGAGTCAACTATGATCTAGAGGAAATCGTCAAAGAAGTTGCCATTTTAAACAATGTAAGCAAGTAGGAAGGAAAGATTATTTCAGAACACAAATATTCATAGGTAGGAAAATAACAAGCAGTAATGCTTTAAAAACCCGACTGAAGGTTTGTAGTTGAATCTCTATGAAATACTTTATGTCTGACGTCATAGGAGCAAATGTAAGCATCACTAATTTTTTCTCCCTAAACAGCTGGAAAGAATGTTAAAACATAAGACTTCATATACATTGAAAGCAATTGAAGTAACTGACGATTGTATTATAGCACTCCATGTATAGCACTCAAATTGAGAGCACAGGACGTGCAGTTTAGTAGTGCGGATGCAGGGTTTAAAAATGAGCAACAGGCCAAAATCCTAAGGAAAAATAAAAATAGGGTGACTCCCCCCCTCCTTGAAATAGAAGCAGATTTTCATTATAAAAACGTGGTCGTTAAATTCCTGACTTGTTAAAATGAGTCTGGCCGTGGGAGTGAGCGGTATTCATTGCGCACCATCATCTCCGACCGCCTATCCGAAGACTGGTGTGCGTGAGCCTGCAGAAGGGCTGGTGTCTTACTGTCCAGAACGGGTTCCATGTCCACACCCCAGGCACCGAGGTCCCTTGGAGGGGCAGGCCTTTTTGAGCTCTCCGTTTCCCCTCCCCACTCTAAGAGCACAATCCGGCTAAGATTCCCCGTTCACCCCAATTCCTGGACAGAACCTTACTCGGGCCAATCCCTGCCCTCAAGTTGAAAACAAACTTCCAGTGCCGGTCCCCCAAGCCCTCGAAAATCCTAGCCCTCTCAGTTCCACTCTTAAAGAACGGCCTCGCCCACGAACACCCTTCGGTTCTCCGACCAACTCCACTCTTTTCCCAGCAGGCACCGCTTTCAGGCCCGCCGCCCGGACCGCGGGGGCCCACAGCAGAGAAAGCGGCTGCGGTGCGCTCCACTACGCCCCGCCCCCGGCGAGCGTGGCGGAAGTTGCTTGCTCGGGAAAGGAGACCACGGCCACCTGGTAGAGCGCGCATGCGCCAGAGCCCGCGCAGCTAGTGGCGGGGGCGTCTGCGGCGCTCCCTCCTCCGTCTCCGCAGCCCCCGCCCCACGGAGAGTCGGGCTCACGCCATCTTGTGCCCCCCCCCACCCCCACCCCTGCCCCCGCCGAGCCACCTTCTCCCTTTCTACACTCTCAGCCCTCCACCCCGCCCCTTTCCAAGCGTGCCCCGGGCCGCCGCCGCAGAAACCGCACCACCTCTCCCCACATTCTCCACGCGGGACGCGCAGCCGTGCCTACAAGTGTTCTTAAAGCAGAGGTTGTAGGGGGCGCGGGGCGCGGCGCGGGGCGGGCGGGGAGAGGTCTGCGAGCCGGGAGGGACGGCGCGCGGCGAGCCCCGCGTCCGTGGGCCCCAGCCCCGCCCTGATCCCAGCCCGCGGGCGGCCGCGGGGGAGGAATTGGCCTTAGCGCTCTAGGGTTGAAGGAAGGGCGGTAGCGTGAGGCGCTGGGCGGCTCGGCACCCGGTTCTCCCGCCGACCGTGGAGCTGGCTCTTGACTCCTCCCCGTCGGCGGGTGGGCGTGGGGCGAGGGAAGCTGGGCAGGCGAGCTGGAGCTGGCGTGGCCGGGGCGTGTTAAGAAGCACCTTCCGCGCCCCATCTAGGTAGTGTTTTGCGGGGAAGACTCCTTAGAGAAGGAAAGTGCTTTATGGGCGGGGCGGAAGAAGAGTTAGGTTGCGTTAGTGGAAGCGGAGCATCCAGGAAAAGGAAAAAGATCGGCTCTGTTCTCTGTGGGCTGAGCCCACATCTGTGACCCCTGCGGAAATTATCGAGCCTGCGTTTGCCTGGGTGTTCTGGTCTGTAACTGGGGGTGGTAGTAGCCTAGCTCAGAATTGTCAGGATTGCACGAGGTTATACAGTGATCAGGCACTGATCAAATTACATGTTAACATTAATTTTAGTCTTCATGTTTTAAGAAATTCAGAAGGACTGTGCTCTTGTTTTCTAAATTAAAAATCAAGACACTTGACGGTCTGATAAGAGAGTTGATTCATAGGAATAGTGGAATGTAGTATCTGGCAGAGGCGATACTAACAGTTACTTACATGTATTGTTAATGTACGCGTGGGTAACTAGCTAGTTACTAAACTAGCGTAACTCCCACGAGGCTAATACAAATTTTTAGCTGTTTGAAAGAAATTAGTATATTTCTATAGGGGAGGAAAGGACATAGGGTCTCAGTATATGTTAGGAGTCAGAACTTTGGAAACGGAATTGAGTAAGCTGTGCAGACATTTACTTAAAGACCAAATTGAGGATGGAACTCCTGGAATTTCTGGTGGATGTTTCAAAGAGACTGGACTTCACTGAATATGAGGAACAGTTTTTTTATGGTACTTTGCAAAAAGAAAATGCACTTCATTGCACTTAATTCATTGTTCCAAGTTTCTTAATTTCTGGGAGTATTCAAGCAAAGATCAAGAGCAGCCTAGGTCCCATAGTAGCACTGTCCAATATTGTAGAACTTTTCACCATGATGGAAATACTCTGTATTCTCTACTAATATGGTATCCCCTAGCATCATGTGGCTCCTGAGCACTTGAAATGTGGCTTGTGCATGAGGAACTTAAATTATATTTTAATTAATTTAAACATAAATAACTGCAAGTGGCTAGTCACTCCCTTATTGGGCAGCTTAAGCCTAGAATCTAGACTTTGAGACCCCTTCAAGTTCTTGATTTGGTTGAGTTTTAAGTCAAAGAAGCCAATTCTTGGAACATTTATTGCCTTAGGGAATAATTATATTAATATAATGCCATTTGCTCAAACTGTAATTCAAAACATGGGTCTCTTGGTACTATTACAGCTTGACAAATTAAAGCAAATTATTCTTTTGACTCCTTGGGTTGTACAGCTAATGCCAGACTCATCTAGAGAGGCATAAGAATACTAGCTGGTTTTTCCTTTAATCAGTATTTTACCATATTGTGACTATGGCTTTCCATTATCTCTTATCACTGTGGTTAAGTTTCAGTGAAAACTTTGCTACTTTTTTCTTTGTTATTTCTAAAGTTGTTTTCCATTTGGAAGATAGTGTTTTTTTCATAACCTTTTGTGTAATAAAGCAAGTTGATCATTTATAGTAGTAATCTTTGAGCATTGGGCCATTTTAGAAGTAGTTTTGTGGTTATCAATATTCAAAACTTTTGAAGAGAGAAGTCTGAAATTTGGTGATATTGGTAAGATTTCTTTGATATGTAGATTTTCTTCCTTTTTTAAGCAAATGTCTATAAAGTTAAGTTTGAGGAAAAAACTTAAAAAAAAAAACCCAAAAAACTTTCTTTATAGATACCACCCTTAACTCTGGCCTGGTGCACTTGATCTCAAGGCTGAAGATAATCGTTAGATCTGGGCCAAAAACTTAAAGGCCATGAATTACACAGTAGAATATCCTGTAACATACAAATTAAAATGAGTTGCTCTTGGGGCGCCTGGGTGGCTTAGTCGGTTAAGCGTCCGACTTTCGCTTGGGTCATGATCTCGCGGTTCGTGGGTTCGAGCCCCGCGTCGGGCTCTGTGCTGACTGCCAGCTCAGAGCCTGGAGCCTGTTTCAGTCTGTGACTCCCTCTCTCTCTGACCCTCCCCTGCTCATGCTGTCTCTATCTCTCTCCTAGAAATAAATAAAAAAAAACATTAAAAAAAAAATAAAATAAAATGAGTTGCTCTTATATAAGGTGACTGTAAAATCCAACTTTTCTGGGACAGTCATTGTTTAGAGCCTCTTTATCCTGATAGAGCCCTTTTTATATAAAAAATGTCGTGGTTGGTATCACATAAATATGGCCATCCTGCTTTTAGTCATATTGCTTGTTGAAGTTTGTAATATGTAATTTTTAGGGGAATTAATCATACTGCAATCTCACAAATGTACTAAAGTATTGAGAGAATTATGGTTTGTGTGCGTAAATAATAGGTGAGATATCTGCAGTAAGGCCAGCAAGTGACGTGTCCATATAAACTACTGAAGTTAAAAATTTTTGCTTTTCTCTTTATACTGGATGGAAATCTTGGGCAGTGTGATTTTTGCTTTTCTCTACATAAGTGATCTTTTGGGCTAGGAGGCTGCAAAGAAATTTAGGCCTTGTCAATGAAATCAGAAGATTGAGTAATCTTGTTGAAAATAATACCCATTTTATTTTATGGTGAAGTTGAGTAGTGAAGTCAGTAAGAAATCTATGTTTAGAATGTCCAAGAAGGATTTTGCTTACAGTTCTATAATAAAGGAAAATAATTGAGCCAAATGCATGATTATTAGTTTAACTTCTACTGTGGTAAGTAAAATATTTTATTGAGAGTCAAACACATTTGGTTTGAGTTCTCACTCTGCTGAGGATTAAATGAGTTAATCCATGTGATGTGTCGGGTGCAGTGTTGGGTACAGCAAAGCACATAAGTCAGTGCTCAATAAATATTAGCTGTTAAGCTAATAAATAAAAATTAGCCTTAAGCTTATTGAATAACATCATCTGGAAGAGATACTGATGTTCCGAGATGCATTGTGGATAGGTGCAGAGAGTACATGAGACTGATTCTAAACCTAGGTTTAGCCCTTTTCTACCATATTCTTCTTTTGTGACTTTAGTTAAGGTGTTTTAACTTCTCTGAGCCTCAATTTCCTCATGTGTAAAATGGAATTAATATATCACCTAATTCCAGCCTTCTCACAGGATTGTTGAATACTACAGAAGAGAATTACATAAATTGTCTTACTTTACAGACATTTCATTTAATTGGTTTTGTCTCACCTTGTCCACTTACTACCTCTGGTAAAGACTGATCTTAAATCTGCAAAAGCTGTTAATTTTATTTGTAAAACAGTATAGAGTATAATAGGCTCTACCTGAGGTTGCTCTCTTTAACAGGACTGTAAGTCTTGGGAACGGTGCTTTAGTGATGTGGTTGTAATATATTTTCTACACTAACAACTACATACCGCTAAGGGAGGTCCAACATTTTCATGGGCATTTGATGTATTCCATCTCCTGTGCTAAATGCTGTATCTCATTTATTTATCCAGGCATGTCATTCCCCCGCAATAGGTGATACTGATGAGGCTCTCACTTTCTGGAATGGATCTGTCCATTTTTTTGCGTTATACTACTGCCTCTTATAATACCTGGCTGATAGTTAATGGATGTTGAAGGTTGAATAAGGTAATGAATATGAAGATGGCATACTCCCTGGCATATGGTATGTAGTAGTTGCTGAAAAAAAAAAAGGTGTGTTCTTTGAACTCGGAGGGCATAAATTGGAATAATCTATGTGAGTGCACTTTATAAATGCAACAAAATACTATACGAATAAAATTAACACAGTGTAGCCATTTACTGCTAAACTGTGAGTCGGCATAGGCAGATGTTTCACAACAAAGTTCACTATGACAAACACATGGTGGAGGTCTTGTGAGTTAATTAGGATCAACTTTTATTTGTATGTTCCTTGTGGGATAGTAGAAAGAACTCTGGACCGGGAGTCAGGGGACCTCAGTTTTAGTCCCAGCTGTGTCACTAAATAGTGATGTGTCCTTGGGCAGTTCAAGAAACCCCTCTGGACTTCAGTTTCCTCACCTGAAAAATGAGGGATTTGGATGAAATTAGTTTTATTCAAACTGTAGTTCTGAACCTCAGATGTCTTTGATCCCCCTCCCGCCAATTGGTATAGTTGTAGTTTTGTCTATTATAATTGTTTATCCGTCTGCCTGAGATTTACTTGTAAGCAAAGAATTCGTGAACTTTTCAAGTTAGCAAAGTCTCTAAGACAACTTAACCACAAGTCCCCTGACTACTTACTATGTGTACAACTTCTCAGTGATTTCACATTATTTTAGTGTGTCAAAGGAAATGGGCATCGTTTACAAATGAAAAAAACCTAGGGCACTAGAATCAGAGAAGGTTAGTGAATTTTCGTTAAAAAAATGTATGGACACAGACGGAATATTTCAGGTTGTCAGCTACCTGGGATCAAAGCCTGGTTTTTGTTAGATTTGTGACATTTCCCCAGTTTTTACTCTTTGCTTCCTCATTGGTAGTGGGGATAATACTTGCCTTGTGGGTGATTGTGAAAAAATGCGACGTAGTACAGGCAAAAGACCCTTTATAAACTCTGAAAGGCTTATACAAATTCATCGATTTTTTTTTTTTTACATATCTATAGTATATCTCCAATTCCTTTTTTCTTTTTAGTCACATGAACTGTGCTTTTAACCACATCAGATAGTTTATTGACTTGTTTGTATATAAAATAGACTCCTCGTAAGGTTAAATATTTCTAGAATGTGAATCTAGAGTGGGAAAGAATCTTGATGTTTAAGAGAGCTCCTTTTTTGACATCCTTGTCAAATACACTTACTATTGAAAGTATAATTGACTAAAAAATTTTGCCCTTATCTGAAAAGTTAACTATTAAGTCACTCAATTATAAGATATTTTATGTAAAAATAACAGTGTTTTCATATGGGAAAAGTAAGCTTGCCGTTTTGTCAGGGGTTGAATGTTATGTATTTTAGGATGATCTGACAGACACATCGGCAGTGCACTTTAGGAACCGTATTTCCAAAGATTAAAGATTTTTTTTGAATCTCAGTATTGCACTAAGAGATTACTGGATGTGAAAGCACTTGAAATAGAATCCTACATTAATATGAGACTAAAGAAGAAAAACATAATACTACAACTTTCACAGGCTTCCGAGCAGTTTGACTGTGCTCCTATGTCTGTAAGTTAAAAAAAAAAAAAAAATAACTGCTCATGTAGCCAACCAGGATATGTAAATGCACAGTTTATATCTGCCTATTGGGAATTTTCATAGTTCACAGATGTTTTGATAGTCTTTTCAATTCAAATATTTTTTGGATACCCATTATGTGGTACCCACTATCTTCTTTATAACATTTCCTCTGAGTCAGGCAGAAATTATTCTTGACAGATGGAGAAACTGAACTTGAGAGATGATTAATCCTTACTATCAGATGCTAATATATTGATTAATTATCCTTCTTAGCACAACCCCATGGCCATGAATTATGTCCATTTTTCTGACTTACACCATCTATCACAAAACTTCTGCAGGATTTCATCTCTCCTTGAATGTCTTTTTTTTTTAAATTTTTTATTTTTAATGTTTTATTTTTGAGAGAGAGAGAGAGACAGCATGAGCAGGGTAGGGTCAGAGAGAGAGGGAGACACAGAATCTGAAGCAGGCTCCAGGCTCTGAGCTGGCTGTCAGCACAGAGCCCGATGGGGGGCTCGAACCCACGAACCGTGAGATCGTGACCTGAGCCGAAGTCGGACACTTAACCGACTGAGCCACCCAGGCACCCCTCCCCTTGAATGTCTAATAGTTGTCTCAGACTTACTGTGGTGTAACTGAACTCCTGGTTTCTTTGTTTTTCCCTTTGCAGCTTTCATGATCTCAATAAATGGCACACCATCCAATCAGTTGTTCAAGGCCCCAAATTTCACAGTAAACTTCAGAGTCCTCCTTGACTGTTCTTTCCTACCCCATATCTACTCCATCGACAATCAGCTGTGTCTTCAAAATATATTCCAGAAGTCTGACCAGTTCTTACCATCTCCACTTACACCACTAACTGAGGCCACCGTCCTCTTTTGCCTATACAACTTCGATAACTTTCTGACTGGTCTCCTTGCTTGTACCTTTGCTTCTTCTTAGTATAATGTCATGGCAGCCAGAATTATCTTTTTGAAACCTAAAATATTTCAAGTCACTTCCCTTTTTACAATCCTGTATTAGCTTCACATTATATTCAACTAAAATTTAATCTTCATCGCCTAGATGGCTTTCTATCGCCTGGCCTCTTACTAACTGTCAGACCTTATTTTCTACTGCTTATCCCCTTTGTTCCCTTCCCTCAGGCCACACTGGCTTCAAGATCTTGGTACTTTGCTGTTTTTTTTGCCTGAAAGTTCTTCAGAGCTCCACCCTGAGCTTCGTTCAGATCTTCTATTAAATGTCACTTCCTGGTTGAAAACAGCTTGTTTAATTTGCTTTCATAGTATTTGTCACTACCTCATATGGTATTTATATGCTCGTCTCCTGCATTATCGCATATTTCTTTTGTCTAGCCTAGCCACTATCACATTTCCTAGCTCTTCGCAAAAGTGTTTGGTTGGTAGTAGGTGCCCGGTAAATAGATACGAATGGATAAGCCAAAGCACAGGTTGTGCATCGGCCTTAAAGAAGAAAGTGCCTATATTGTAAAAGGAGGGAGTCAGGAGAAGATACAGGAGCTTTGGTAGAGGAGAGAGGAGGGAGGAAGTAAATAAGGGCCTTTCATTTCTCTGTGAGGGAGGAGGGGCAGTCATCTGCCACTAGTTGGGGAACTTCATTAATAAACTAAAGTGATATGTGCGCACTAAAATATTTAATGTTAAAAGAATTAGTAAATGAAAACATTAAATGTCAGGGAAAGGAGAATTCCTGAAGGTCGTGAATCTGGGGTGTCTTGGAGACCTTGATCTTCGGTTGTGGGGATTTGGATAGGTGGAGAGGAGACAGGAGGTACTGCAGTCGGGAGAACTGTGGGCCAGAGGTTCAGAAGAACCTGGGATGGTTTGGGAGATGCTGGATGTTTGCTTTGACCGCTGTGGGAAAGGAGGCTGATTTTAGACAAGTTTTGTCCTCCAGGGGACAGAGAGATATTGGATGCTTTGAGTAGAGGAGTAACCAATACTTACTTGCATGCTTATTTATTTATTATGTTTGTTTATTTTTTGAGAGAGAGAGAGAGTGTGCCAGAGGGGCAGAGCTAGAGAATCCCAAGCAGTCTCCATGCCTCTCAACGCAGAGCCTGACGCAGGGCTTGAGCCCATAAACTGTGAGATCATGACCGGAGCCGAAACCAAGAGTTGGACCCTTACCTGACTGAGCCACCCAGGCGCTCCAAGGAGTAACCAATATTTAGAATGAGTACTCGAGCTGGTATGCAGAATTAATTAGAAAGGTGGGAGATGGGTATAAAAGATATTCTAGTAAAGGTATTTATTAAGGTGAGATTTGAAAGGAGGGGATTGAATTAGAATTGCTTTATTGAGAGAAAATATGCCAGGACCAGACTGCATGGAGGTAGGCAGGAGGAGAGCTGGTGAATCAAAAATGCCTTGGAGCGTTTGAACTTCTGTAACTGAAGAGTAGTGTTGTACAGAACCGGGATTTTGGACAGAGAAGCGGGTTTGGTGGAGGAAAATGTGCCGGGAAATAGTATATTGTAGAGAAGAGTTTTTCTGTCCATGAATATGAAGTCTTTGATAATTATATTAAGATGGCGATTCGCTACATAGAGCCGACAACTTGTCATTTTGATCATTGGGTCTTCCTTATGAACATTTGTAGCTTCTTATGTGTGCTAATTAGAATCAAACTGATTTTGGTTAGGAAGTACTTACTCCTAATAGTTTTTAAGAAAACTAATTGCTCAGTGAATGAATGGTGGAAGAATATTTACTATCATATATTGCTCTTTATGGTGCTTCATAATTTTGAGAGGACTTTTCACTTCTGCACTTTGATTTTACAGTAATCCAGTGGCATATGTGTAGTTTTTTTAAATTATTTTTTTATGTTTTAGTGCGCCTAAATATGCTTTATTTTCAGATTTTAACAAGTGGTAAATCTCAGGACAGTTTTCCCATAATAATCGACCAGGTCTTAGTTCCTACTTTTGTCCCATAGTATCTTGTGCATTGTCTCTAAACTAATTCCATTGAATATATCTGATCGGTTAACTTCAGGAGGCTATAAGCTACTCAGTGGCAGAGACATATCTTTCTTATCTTTATATTCTTTGTTATACCAGTCAGTAGTTTATTCATTCACCCAACATTTACTGAGCATCAGCAGCGTTAGGCAGTAGATTAGCTACCAGCGTTACAGAAAAATCAGTTTCCCTATTGTTAAGCAGTTAGCAGTTTGAGGACAAGGAAATAGTTACACTATGGTGTGAGAAGTGCTATGATTGATGCATCTTATCTCAGGTTCTGCACTCATTTGATATGTAGTAAGCGAATACAAATGATTTTTAGTTATGAAAATACAATTAGCAGTTTCAGGAGAATTGCTATTGATTTCCAGTTATATGTGAATCATCTGTTCTTTAGGTTATTCATGGGATGTTGTTGCTCTTTTAGCAGGTAACTGTATGGACATTTGAGCTTTATATCTCCTGAAGCCCACCTACATAAATTTATTGGAATTACCATTGTGTTATCTCAAAATACTAGGTATAAAAGTTTTAAAATTGTGTATAATTAAAAATTTTAATGTTTTACATTCTCAGAGATTGAATGATTATTTGGTATTATTTTTCACGGAAGAGAAATTTATGCCATGATGTAACTTGAGGTGTTTTTTTTTTTTTTTTAAGACAACAAAACTAAAATGCAGTGTATAATAGTGTTAGCTTAACCTTAATTGCTTCCTGCCTTTGGAGTTCTGTGAAAATGAGAATGTTCTGACTGTAACAGTTTTCTATTAATTTATGTATGTGGGATGTTCAGGCTATGAATGGTTGGAATTGAAACTGTTTATACTCAGAATCAGTACATAGATCTGCTGAATTAATTTTCCTCAGCAGTGATGTAATAGAAGAAATGATAAAACATTCCATGGTCTTTTAATAAATGAGTAGACTGATGGATTTCACAATCTAGATATTTATGTTGTTTTGATGGTGCTACAGCTAGTGATAAAGTTTTCAACTTCATTTTGAGGTATTTTAAGCCATAGATGTTTCATGGTATATTTCTTCTTTGGCCATTTAGCACCAAAAATATGAGCTGTAATTAGAAACCTGGTAGCATGTTCATTACATTTTTGTTTAATTCACATTTGAATTACACAATGTGTAACTTTACTACAGTTAAAATTTTTCTTTTCATTATGGTATTTTCTGAGGAAAAGGGTATATCCTCAAGGTCCATTGTTTTAAAATAAAAGATGTCCGCTTCGCTGGAACAAGATTTCACAGGTGTGACATAGTATTGGCTATTGACTTAATGATCAGGTTTAAATCAGTATTAATCAGAGATGAACTTACTCCTTGGGTTCACATTTTAAACTGTGGCATGTTGAAATAATCGAGATCTCCATCTGCACATCTGAATTCATTTTGTAAAATATGGCAAACAGCTGCATTTCAATCGAAAGCTAAAACGACTGCAGGACATTAACCCATTGAGAAGATTACAGTAGGTTTTCAGTTCCATGTTAACTGTATTTATTAGAGAAAATTGACTTGAGTGCTTCTGCTTTTAACTGGCTTTTTTTTTTTTTTTTTAAATGTCTAGGAGAAAGGAAATAAAGCATTGGGATGATAGGACTTTGATGTGTAAAGAAGTTATGTCTAAAGAAGTTAATTATCTAAAATCAAACAAAATGTGGGTATGGGAAATAATTATTTTAAAGATTCTAATGAGCTATCAGCTCATCATGTCAGAAAAATGTTACTCACCTGCTTGATTTAAAAATGAAATAACTTGACTGTGGAAGGATGATTGTGGTTATAATAAACTAGGTTTGGGACCTTTTACTGATAAATACTCTTGATATGAAACATTTGCAGTAGGGGACAAGTGAAGAAAGCTGCTTTAATGGGAATTTACATCCTGCAGTATCTCCTCTTCAGAGTGTGAAAGCAGGGTGACCGAAGGGGCAGACTGCTCCAGCAGTGTCGCAGGATAATCCCACAGACCGGCATGTCTTCAAATCTGACATGAGTCAACTGAAATCCTGTTTTCGGAGGCCGGGGTTAATACAGTCTTTGAGTTTAATGTTTTCTCCAGGATATTGTATCTTTGCCAGTATTCTGTTGGGACGAGGGAGACACTTTCTGAGGCCCTTGAGAGAGCCAGGTTCCTTTTTTATCACTGCCTTGATTCCCTAGGACTGTTCCTAGAAGTAGTTGGGTTCCTGTCTATTTTCCCCCCATCTTAGATTTGGTGATGTGATTTTTTTTTTTTTAAACCTGAGTTCTAATGGTGATGCTTCTTTTCCTGTTTTTTTGTAGAGAAAAGGACAGACTTTAAAAATCTTTGTGAAAAAAAAATTAGGCTTAAAATAAGTTTATGGTCTTTAATAGCATTAGCTTTTTTATGTGCTTTAGAATTTTGGCTTTCAGGCTCAGTTTGAGTAAAATTTGTTTCTTTACTATTCTTTCCTCTTGCATTTGGCCTGGCCCTCAGGGCCCTCTAACTAGACCATGGCTTATCTTGGCAGATAGTTGGCTTTGCCACAGAAGGATTTGGGGTATTTCAGATCTAGCTAACGAGCTAGCCTGCTGTTTATCTGAGTCCTCTGTCCTGTTGACTTCTGAAAAGCTGGTTTTTCTTTTCTTTTTAAAAGTTTATTTATTTTGGGGAGGGGGGGAGAGAGAGAGAAAGAAAGAAAGAGAAAGATGGGAGAGCATGCCTGCAGAAGGGAGGGGCAGAGAGAGGCAGGGAATCCCAAGCAGACCTGGCCCTGCCAGGACAGAGCCTGATGTGGGGCTTGATCCTACAGACCTTGAGATCATGACTTAAGCTGAAATCAAGTATTGGAAGCTTAATCAACTGAGCCACCCAGGTGCCCCTCAAAAGCTTCTTATATGGCCTGTCTCAGGCAGTGGTTTGTAGTATTTTTTTTTTCAGTCTTCTTTCATGGAGCCCAGTCCTTACATCTCAGTCCTTGGTGAATCGCCCTGGTTCAGGTTTCCATGATCACTTTTAGCCTCTACTGCCCACAGTTGCCCAGGAGCTGTCAGATTAGAGGATGTATTAATATTAAGAAGGTAAGTTTTGTAGCCGTGTGGAGAATGAACTGAGATGGAAAGAGAGGAGCTCTTCTGGCACCTACGGAGAGGACATAGCAGTAGAACAAGAGGAGGAGCATGTAAGAACGTAAAGTAGAATTTATTTGGTTTCTTACAAAATATAGGATGTTGGAGAAGGAGTCAAAGACCATGGAGATTTTGAGCGAGGATGACCACTAGCAGTAGTTATGGCAGTACTGAAAACTTTTATAAGGAAACTAAGTACTTACTGTTTGTTGAGTTGCATCAGGGTCTTTTAGTGAGATCTTATTTTAGTGATAATATTCAGGTTTCTTACGCTTGCGACTGTCAAATAAGAGTAACCTAAATTTGTTACACAGAAGCTTTTAGCTGATCAATAAAGGGAAAATTCTTAAGTTCTTTCTGCGTATGATAATTATGGTTAACATTGTGTGCTTACTGTGTGCTAAGCAGTGTTCTGAATGCTTTGTACATATTAGTTCATTTAATCCTCCCAATAGCCCTAAGAGTGTGGGATTCTCATTCCCATTTTAAAGATGAAGAAACTGAAGCACACGGAAGCCTAAGTAATTTGCCCAAAGCCCTAGCAGAACTGGGATTTGAACCTTGGCAGTCTGACTCCTGACTTCGCCTAGTTTATTTATTACTACAGTGTACTCTAAGTTTCCAGTACCGCTTTATTTTTAAAAAACTTTTCTTAAATGTTTATTTTTAAATTTATTTTTTAAGTTTATTTTTTGAGAGAGAGACACACACAACAGAGTGTGAACGAGGGAGGAGCAGAGAGAGAGGAAACTAAGACTCTGATGCAGGCTCCAGGCTCTGATCTGTCTGTACGGAGTCCAATGTGAGGCTTGAACTCATGAACCATGAGAATGTGACCCGAGCTGAACTTGGAGGATTACCTGACTGAGCCACCCAGGCACCCCAAAATGTTTATTTTGAGAGAGAGAGATTGAACAAGCGCATGTGCTTGGGAAAGGGACAGAGAAAGAGGGAGAGGATCCTAAGCAGGCTCTATGCTGTCAGCACAGAGCCTGATGTGGGGCTAGATCCCACGAATCGTGAGATCATGACCTGAGCCAAAATCAAGAGTTGGACACCAAACCACCTGAGCCACCTAGCTGCCTCATTATTGCTTTCTTTTATCATATGTTCAAATCTACAAATTATTTTTTTAAGGAAAATTATATTGCAATATTTATATGGACATACAAACTAATAGCTAACATTTATTGAGCACTTACTGAGTAATGGTTGAGGCTTTTATCTACTTTCGTTGGGTTGTTATTTTCACTAATTCTTGTTTATGGGACTGCCACATAGCATTAAATAAAATCACATGTATTAGGGTTGGCATCTAATTTTCCATTATGCATCAGCTTAATTATATTGGGGGAAAAAGTCACATTTTAAATTGATGAGTTACTTAACTATAAAATATCACACTGCTTACTTGTGATGTACTGATTGACTTTATTTTTATTATTTATATCTTGGGCTTTGGTTCAAATGAGAATTAGATTAACTCTTAGTTGGAACCTCAGTACGTGAATTAGAAAAGTCAGAGTTGTTCTGTTGTTCTGGAGGGAACTGTGAGGTTGTGCTTGGAGACCCCTGGGCGCTTCCTGAAATATTGCCAGTGAACCTTAGGGCTCCCTGGAGCATATTTTGAAAACCATGGAGTTCTATTATTTTAGTGAGTCTTTTTCTTCCAGTATTTATTGTAAAATTTGTACTAAAATGTTTTTCACTCAAGTCAGTAATATTTGATGCCGTATTTGACTAAGCAGTTTTTTCCTCTTTATGATTTCATTTTAATAAAGAACATCAATATGAACAAATCAGATTTATGTAAAAATTAGGAATTTAAAATTTTCTATACTTTTGAAGTAATTTATAATTGCTCCATGCATTTATTTATAGTTAAATACATTTTGTAAGCCCTATTTCTTTTTTATTTAGATGAATAATACTGCAGCCAGCCCAATGTCTACTGCCACTTCAAGTAGTGGAAGAAGTGCAGGGAAGTCGATAAGCTTTGCAGCAGAATTACAGAGTATGATGTGAGTATGTCTGCATCACACTTCTTACTATTTCAGGTTTACTCGTGTTGATAAAAGACAATAGAAATAACAAAATTTCTAAAACTTAACTTTGAAATGCGCACTTTACAAAGTAAAAATGGAATAGTCTCTTAATAGTTTAAAAAGCCACATGCAGAAGGGGCAAAATAGGTTAATAATGCTCCAGTAGTGCTGTTTTTGAAAAATAAATATTGGTTCATCTTTAAAAAAGAATAAACAATCACATAAATATTTTTGCTTTCATTATTCTCTGCTCAAATCTGTGTTATGGATTGTTTATTACTATTTTAGTTTTAGACTTAGAGGATTTGGAGATTGATTATATTCTTGGATAGTTGAAATGTTTTCACAGAGAGATTCTCTGTTTTTCTCAAGGATGATAATGATTTCATGAGCCTAATTTAAATTAGTTTTTAGTTTTGATAATATTTGAAATTACTGTGTTGCTGAATGTTGAGAAAAAACAGAACATTTAAAAAACACGTGTTCTTTTTGAGAAATTGCACAATCATTCTTAAGACTCTTTTCAGCTTAATTTCTTGCTTCTTGCATTGAGCAACATGGCAGATCTTGATTTGAGGAGATGTAGCTTACTTATTAGAAATGTCTGCTGGCATAGATTAGTTTTTTTCTTTATTATTAGTTCAGGAGACAATTACCCGCATAAGTGGCACAACACATTAGAGCTCTTCTATTCCTATGGATACAATATTCATGACCTACTGGGCAATTTGAAAAGAATGTTTCTGTGGAAGGTTTAAGTATCTTCCTCTTGTGGGTGTATATTGATAGGTGATTATTGTTCAGATATATATGCTATTCATATGCTTGATAAACATACTTTAGACAACACTGAGAATGTGTAGGTTATAGGTTCTCCCAATTTTTGGTGTGAGGATCCTTCTACACTCTTCAGTTGTTGAAGACCTTAAACAACATTTGTTTATGTGGGTTATACTTACTAATATTTATTGCCTAGAGTTTAAAACTGAGGAATAAAAATCAGTAATTTATTTGAAAAACAGTAAGCCTGTTACATGTTAACACAAATTACATATCCCTTATAAAAATAATTATATTCTTAAACCAGAAATTGGTAACATAGTTTGTTAGATAAGATGAGGATAAACTTCTATTAATTTCGGAGTTGTATTAGGTGAACCTGGGTTTTAAATTATGGAAAATGTTAAGGGTTTATGCTGGTGTACATTTTTATGTGATAAGCACTTTCATTTTTAGTTTCGTAGCTTAATGTAAAACATTAAGAATGTTTTATGTTGATTCTATTAATTATGTTTCAGAATACTAAATATGCTTTAAAAGGTTTACAGTAAAGTGAAGAAACTCATTTTCTTGTAGAGCTGGTTCATTGATTTACTTTGTATTTTTAAAAGCTTTTAATTTCAAACTCATAAAATTACAGAGACTAGGATAATGAACTCCATGCATCCATCATCCAGTTTTAACAATAATTGTGTTTTGCTAGTCTTATTTAACCTTTCTCCCTAGTCTCCACTTTTCTTCTATGCAGTATTTTAAAGCAAATCCCAGACACATCATATTTTAAAGCTGGTGGCATTTATTAAAACAACATATTTGTTGTAAATAAAAAACAAGCTCTGTAGCATAGGTCAGCACACGGGCCCACAGACTGGCTGCCTGTTTTGGAAAATAAGGTTTTATTGGACTACATCCATACTCATTTGTTATCTGTCGCTGTTTTCATGCTCTATGACAGAGTATTTGTGACAGAGACCATATGGCCTGTAAAGCTGAAAGTATTTACTGTATGGCCGTTTACAGAAAAGGTTTACCTGGTCTGTAGAAACAGCTCTCTGTAAGAAAGCTGTATTTCCTTTTGTCATTTATACTTTGGAGAGGTTCTTCTTAGTGCATTTGATAGATTGCAGGCCACTCAAAACAGAAAAAAATAAAAGCTAGATTCAGCACTTTCTTATTAAATACTTTTGCAAACATCTTCTCAACTAATGTGCTTAAGCTGGATTCAGAATGCAAAAGTTATTGTTGGCTACAGGTTTGGAAGAAATGTACATTTTCCTTCTATTTCAGACCTCTTAGAGAGGCCACTCCTAATAGTTACATTCATCATTTATAGTCTGAAGTTCGTTTTTTCCCTTTATGAATTGCTTCATAGAACAGGAAAAAAGGGCCCAAATTGGGGGAATCTTTTCAAATTTACCAATATTTTCTATTGATGTAAAGTTTTCAGGCTTTTGATGCTATAAGAATTAGTATACATTTATTCTTGCTTATATCACATGTGAAGTATAGACCTAAGTGTTCATGTTTATTTTGTGTTGTAGGAATTTCATTCTGTGAATCCTCCCCTACCCCGTCCCCCACCAGTCCTATCAGGCCTGTTTGTATTATAGTGCTGTTGTTTATTTATTTATTTTAATTAAAAATTTTTAAAAAAGTATTTGCTTTTGAGACAGAGTGAGAGAGACCGCATGAGCAGGGCAGGTGCAGGGAGAGAGGGAGACACAGAATTTGAATCAGGCTCCAGGCTCTAAGCTATCAGCACAGAGCCTGATGTGGGGCTCTAACCCACGTACCTGTGAGATCATGACCTGAGCTGTCAAATGCTTAACCAACTGAGCCACCCAGGAGCCCCTATATTGCTGTTTCTTAATCTTCTGCTGTCATTTCACCATGAATGAGCTGTTTTAGTCTTGTCTCCTGCCCTCTAAATGAGTAACAGTGTCGTGTCATTTCCAGGGGATAGTTGCAGTGAAAAGTGTCTCATTGTGAAACACAAATGAAATTGTAATGATCTGTTATCAGATATAGAATTGGCAGCTGGTCTGTGCTATTAGAGCCTTGAGAGAACTGACCATGTTTTAAGTTTGTGTTGTAAATTCTACCAGTGAAGCATTCTTTAGTAAGTGTTCTACAGGTTTTAAACTAAGGGATGAACCAGCAAACAGTTGGTCAGTTGGGCATGACAAGGAGCTCTCCCATACCTAGTGGATATAACTCAGCACATTTGCTATGTGCTTCTTATTATAGCTCTTTGAGTAACATGTGCTAGGAGGGTCCAAGAGGCTTTTCATTTTTAAGTTACTGAACTCAAGTAGCCTGTAAATTACAAAGTGAAACCTTTTCAATCCACATTGCAGGTGTTTTAACAAACTTCTTAAGAATTTTGATTAAGAGCACTTCAAGGAGTTTTCATTGGCTATTTTCTTCTTTATTTTACTCATTTATATATTTCTTGCCTTATTATATTGTACTTTGTCAGGTTTTTGACCTGGTGATGATTTCAGGTTTCACTGTTTGGTAGCATTTAGTAATTCTCATGCAACTAAGTTAAAAAAAAATAAAGATTTTGTGTTTACATGTTACTTATATTTTGTAAGAATTCTTCCAAAGGAAAGTTTCATCCATAATTTAAAGTTCGCAGATTGAAAAGAAATTTTTTTAATCAGGAGTGTTTTTATTATCTACAATAAAATTCATTCTCTTAACTGTACAGTTCTGCAAGTTTTGCATTTTTAGAAACCAACATTTATTGACCTCTTATCTGACAGTGCCTAAATGCCTTCAAAAGAGTGTAGCAATAGAGAGGGGTTGTGGAGACATAGGGCTGTCATGTGATAGGATGTGAGCAATTAATTTCATGGTAGCACAAAGGAGCGAGTGATGACCTTCTGAGGGTAAGCTTCCTGAGATCTGTGCTTCTGACTGCTTCCTGGAATGTCCGTTAAGTAGTCTGTGAGCATCTCAAACTTAGTATGTCCAAAACTGAACTAGTACAGTAAGATTTGCTTCTTTTCCTGGCAATTTTTGGGATATATAACGAAAACCATTTATTGCATTTAGACTAGGCATTGCTGCATTAGAGTAGGCATAAACAACTAGAGTTGCCTATGTGAAATAGTATCTTTTGGTTATTATTTAGCATTATAAATTAAGAGCTGTGAAAGAATTATGTTCCCAGTTCTATCCTCAGGTTAATCTGACTTTAAAGAGACCTGATATGTAAACATAGGAAGTAACCATAGATGTTCATTAAACTGACACAGATTCCTTAAAATATTGTGTTTCCCCTCTATGTTTAAGGTTCTTAGGAAATTAGAGAAAAATTCATAAAGGTAAACAGTGCTGGCATTAATGGATTGCAACTTCAGAGATGCTTTATTAATACTGATGATAATAGTGAATGCTTCTGCAGAGCACAATGTGTACCAGGCACTTCCTGAATCCTTCCATATACCATTTCTTTCTCTCTCTCTTCTTTTTAATGTTTATTTTTGAGAGAAAGAGAGAGACAGAGCATGAGCAGGGCAGGGGCAGAGAGAGATGGAGACACAGATCTGAAACAGGCTCCAGGCTCTGAGCTGTCAGCACAAAGCCCAGCGTGAGGATGGAACTCACAAACTGCGAGATGATGACCTGAACTGAAATTGGACGCTTAACCGACGAGCCACCCACCCAGGCACCCCTCACCCCCCCCATTTCATTTAATCTTCACACAACCCCATGCAGTTAATACTGTTACTCCCCTCTCATAGATTAGATGAGGAAATGGAGACACAAATAAGTAACTTGCAAAAAATTGCCATTATAGTAAGGGGCAAAACCTGGTGTTTAAGTCTGGGAGTCTGACTCCATCAGAGTCCGTACTTTGACATATTATGCTAACCTACATTTTGGTCAATAAAACTTTGATTCCGATTTATGAAATTTAGTTTACAAATGTTTACTAATTTCTGTGTGAGTAGTGTACTATAATGAAGTAATGGGAAAGCTGAATAATTATCTTTAATTAATTAATAATGAGGTCTAATTTTTATAAGTAGTATTGGATTGTTACTTTCATATAATAATAGCATTTATTTCAGTTTCCTATACCTGACCACCAAATTATTTTAAGCAAGGCCATGTCAGTAATGTAGAGAAAGTATAATTTTTCATTGAAATTGTATATTTACTACCTATATGCTCCTTATTAGATG